TTTCTTTTGTCTTTTATTTTTTTGTTTTTTTTTTTTTTTTTTTTTTTTTACTAGGAATATCTAATTGAGCAGCTCAGGGCAGAAGGTGCCAGTCATTTGCCCCGAATCATCAACAACGAAATAGGCAGTAATGAGCGTTATGATGTGTACACACAGGGCGGTGTGTTATTTGTTACTAGCCGTATCCTTGTCGTGGATTTTCTCACTGACCGGATTCCTGCCAATCTAGTAACTGGTGAGTTATTATTTTCTATGTTAAAGAATAAGGTTCATGTTGGGTTTGATTTATAAACTTGTTATCACACTTAGAGACAATGTGCTGATGTGAATGTTTTGGAAATAAAAGTGCTGCGTAAATTGTAGGCGCTATATAAATAGCAGCAGCAGCAGCAGCAACTCTAAGCACTTGCTAGACATTGCATTAGTAGATGCCATTTTCTGTACAGGTTCTCTTTAGGGCTTGCATAGAGATTGGTTGACAGGTTGGATTGCTGTAGATGTACTAAGCAGACTAAAGAATTCTTATAACAGAAGGTTTCATATGTCTCATTACATCACATATCCCAGAAATAAGATGATCACTCCTCATTTTCAGAGAGTGGGCAGAGCCATGCAAATCATTTCTTTATGTCCCAATGGCCAGCTGCTCACCCGGACCCACTAATATGTGTAGTACAGATACAGCTTAAAATTATGGAGCAGGGCAGTGTATGGAAGCCATGGCTTTTATAGAGTAGGGCTTGGGACTCAAAGAGAAAGTATAACTCAAAAGGTTATGGTGGGACGGGATAAAAGCAAAAAGAAAGTCCCCATCCTCACCTTTTAAGTATAGAAAAACATGTTTTGCAAAAAAGGGACCCTGTCACCACATAAAACCCGGTGAACTAAATACATGTAGGCACTGTTGTAGATGGACTTACACTAGCTCTCACTGCTGCAGCAATCTGAGCTTGAGAAACAGAGTTATCAATACCACAATCCCCACATTCTGCAGTATCTGACAGGGTTATTCACAAAAGGGTGAAGAGTTTGGAGGCCGGAGAAGTGAACAATCTAGGACAACATAGCTGACCTGTAAAGTGAGCTGAATGGGAGAATTTTTCCCAATCAGCTATTTTGGCCTAGATTGTTCACTTCTCCTGCCTTCTCCAAACTCTTCACCCTTTTGTGAATAACTGTGAGTGTCAAATAAAAGCTGCCCCAACCTTCCCCAGCACTTTTTTATCACAATGTTTCTGCAGCAAGAACAAAAATATAAGATCAGCAGTGAAAGCATAGTAAGCTAGCAGCCATTGTTGTTGTTTGTTTTATGGTTTTTTTTTAACCGTGCCACTGCTTTGCTGCAGGAACACTATGATAATGTAGGTGTAGGGAGTGGCCTTTGAGTTTGACACTCCAGGAAGTGTCGATTTCAGCCAGGATCACAGTTTTTATGTCTGTTCTTAGCAAGTTCAAATTGTTGCAACAGAGAGAACTTGAAGTTTAGGAACATCTACTACAACTTGCCTTCTTGGTCCCTTGTTTTTCCACTGGCATTCCTATAATAAAACAGATCAAAATTTTGAGGATGCCTAATTTTTTAAATTACTGGAAGGGGAAAAATGCATTCTATTTTTTAAGAATGTGGAGAATGTCTGGAAACTGTTTGTATTGTCACCACTAGATGTCAGCAGTATCATTATTTTGCTTTCTGTGGTTTTCATCATACAGTATGCAGGTTTGTGCTGATTATAACCAAACTGAGCTATTAGAAAATGAACTCCAGTACTTAAAGCACAACCAAAGGCTGTTTATGCCCAATTCTAATTTCTAATGTCAAGTCCCAGCACTACTATCAAAGTATACATTTCGGCCAAACATCTTTCTTACCTGCCTGAATCAAATTCAATATGCTCCATAACTGCCAATGTGTGCTCCTGCAGCTCAAGTCCATAGGGCATCTTAGAAGGTCATATCCAGCTTCCCTGCTGTTCATCAACAAAACTAGATGTCCTGTAATGCCCTGCACGGTGGGCAGAGGTAAGTGTGGTCTAGTGAATGGTGTTGGGTGGAGCTAGGCGCCCACCGTAACTTCACTATGCTGAGATTTAGCTCTTAGTAACCCAGCTGACAAAGGGTGACAACACTGCATTTCGCCAACTGAGCTGCAACAGTGGCACCTGAAAGTGAGGAAGGAGCCTTGCAGATGGACACATCAAAGTTACCTTTTTGACATTTATAAGCAAGCTAGTCCAAACAATCGACATTACATTACTTAGCTTGTCATGTGTTATATGTCTATTTGACTATTTGTTATATGTCTATTTGATTTAGACCCAATGTCTACTTTAAGTTGTTGCTACAGATGATAACTCACGCCTTTCCTTTGAGAAGGCCTTCATGTGCAATATCTGAAGGAGTTATGTGGAAGTGTTGTACGTGCATACAAACCAGTCATGTGTTAGTTCATAGTTTGTTGCTTGTGTTACAAATATTACACCTGAAATGTAATTGCCTTCTACAAATGCCTCCACTTTCATTTCCTTTACTTTTTAGGATTAAGCCGATATCAAAAACAACATACTCTAGGGGGAAAATAGCTTGCATTTAGGATGCATTTGGAAATTGTTTGAGATGCTTTTGACTTGCTTTCACATTGGCTTGTATATGGCGTAAAGCAAACTCAGCCATAGATGCACCTAAACACTGTTCCATATTATACAGATCAAAGTTCACACATTGAGAGGGTTATTCACAATAGGGTGAAGAGTTTGGAGAGCACAACATAGCTGAACTTGAAAGTGAGCTGAATTGGAGAATTTTTCCATATCAGCTATGTTGTCCTAGATTGTTCACTTCTCCGGCCTTCTCCAAACTCTTCACCCTTTAGTGAATAATCCTGTTATTTTCAAATCCTTTCTTAATTGCTTCACAAACAAGTTACAAGCTAGAAACCATGCCCTTGTGCGCAAGCCCTTGTGGAAGGTTTAAAAGATAAATGTGCTTTTAAATTAAATTGTTGGTAATATGTACAACAAAATTAAAAATATAATCCTGGAGGTTGTTTTTGTGAGAAATTCTGCTTAACTCTGCACAAGCTTTGTGGGTCTGATGCATCTTTGTCTCCCGTCTCTCAATTTCACTCTTTGTATGGGAGATCCCCTACTCTTAGCTAAAAAGGTGGGTTTTGTTTATGGCTAATCATTATTCTGTGCACTATTGGCTGTGACCATATACATTTAATTTCCATGCGGATCTACAATTGCAGAAAGTAATTATTGGATATTGATACAGTAAGATATGTGTCCATTGTAGGGATGCACCAATATATTGGCCGCCGAAACATTTTGGCCCAAAAAAATTGCATTTTTGGCATAATGCCGAAAGTGCCATTTTCTGGCCGATGCAGCGGTGCATCCATCTTTCTCTCCTCCCCGCTGGGCGCTGTGTCTGTGCGGTCGAGTGCTGCGAGAGGAGAGCGCTGTGAGCAGCCTGCATCTCTTTCTCCCCCCCCAGCGCCACTCAGCCTCCTGTCACAGGTCAGAGGAGATCGGTGTTTGGGGGCGGAGACAGCCAGCGCTGTCACAGCAGGCTGAGCTCCGCCTTCTGTGACAGCGTGTCAAGAAGGAGAGTGGTGTAAATAATTGAGGACATATTATGGTTATTATTTCCTCAATTATGAATGAATGGGAACACTCATAGGAGATTCCTGTTCATTTATAACAGGGGCTGCAGAAAAAGAGATTGAGGACTCTGTGTCCTCAATCTCTTTTTCTATTTATACCCCTAATATTTCCCCGAAGCCCCCAAAAGTAAAGTAAAAAATAAAAAGATTTCATAAAAAATTAATAAATATAAAAAATGTTAACGTTTATAAAACATAAAATATTTGAAAAAGTTGAAATAAAAAAACATTTTCGGTTTCGGCCTGACATTTTTTTTTTTTTTAAATTTCGGTTTTTAAATTTTAATTTTGGTGCAACTCTAGCCCATAGTGTTTGTTTTTATTGTTAAATGCAAGATGACTTGCTTGAGTTTCTGATCATATCCATACAGTGAAAAGATTAAACTGCTTTAAAATATCCTTGACATTTTTGACATTGAGTATTGTGATCACTCCAAGTACGTTGATACTACAGATTTGTCAATCTTGTGTCCTCCCATTTTAGGTATTCTTGTGTATAGAGCACATAAGATCATTCAGTCCTGCCAGGAAGCTTTTATACTGCGTTTATATCGGCAGAAGAACAAACAGGGGTTCATTAAAGCCTTCACAGACAATGCGGTTGCTTTCCAAACAGGATTCTGCCAGGTGGAGCGAGTTATGAGAAATCTGTTCTTGAAAAAGCTCTACCTATGGCCAAGGTGTGTATAATAAGATGTTTCTTTTTTCTCTTGTCTGCCCTAAAATGTGATGAGGTGCAATCTGTAAATGCACTGCATCATTGTATCTGTCTAATTAAAAAAAACACCCACGTGTTGTCAAGCTAGCACGTCTCTCATCGTGTCCAAAAACTGTTACCCCAGTCATCATTTGGGATGGTACATTGGAGAAATGATCACTTCTGCCCCAGTCTTCTGTTTCTTGAACATCATCAGACACTATTCCCTGTTTATTTTTTATATGGGTCCGTAGCTAGTGAGGTAACCCCTCACCTCCCCGTGTACTACAGGCAAGGGTATGCTTAGCAGACCTGAGGCAGTTGGAAGGACAGAATCCCTTGTTCAGTTCCCCCCCATGTCTGCATGTGTTACAGTTCCTTTGAACAGCCTGAAGACGTAACATTTCTTATCCCCCCTTCAACTCACTACTTCTTTTTTTTTTTTTCCTTTACCCTCATATACCTGTGCACCGTTGGGCCTTTTAAAGCTATCCATTATGATCCACTAAGAGGGTACAACAGGCTGACTGCCCTGGTCACATTCTCCTAAGGGGAATCTCTTCCTTGGCAACAAGGAGAGGAGTGTGGCAGAGTTTTATAGCGGGGTGGTCACTGCTAGAGAGTGGCATCTGAGGGAGCCCTCAATGTGAAATAACTGTTAGTTACGGTTGCTTCTCTTTTGGATCCAATATGAACACTGTTGCCTTTATCCATTTTAGTTTCACAGCTGAAACTACTACGGCGGGGCAGTAAGTGGTTGTAATCCAGTTCACGGCTTCTTTTTCCTGTAAAAGTAATTTAGACACTTGGAAAGTGACTTCTACATAGCCCACAAATGGTGGTATTGCTCTTATGGGGAGTGTAGGAATGTGATGCCTCTTATACTATTTACTTGATAGTGGTCTTTCCATCTCTCCAATGTGCCATCCTTGAAAATTCTAGAAAATGACGTTAGCAGGTAAGAAACTCTGATGTTTATCCTTTTTGTATTTTTTATCCTTTTTGTATTTTTCATCTGCATTAGAAGTCTTGAGGCCATCAAGGCAGGGAAAGATAACTATTTAAATGTAAAAGCAGTATGGTTTTCCCAAAATGATTAGCTTTCAATGCTAAGAAATGAGCAGCGTTAGATTGCAGCATGGAACTGTTATTTTTCTTGGCATTAAAAGCTAAAGAATTTTTAGACTTTACTAATAGAGGACAAATAGACACACAGCTGTTTTTGTCGCTTAATAGCTACTCTATAAAAGAGTTCTGTTACACAATCATGTCAACAGCTAGACAAATTTGTTGCTAGGTGGAAGATATGCAATATGTGGGAATGTTTTTCACTCAGTTCTTATCCTGATAAATGCTCCAAGGAGTTAAAAACTTCACCTTGCATGCTATAAATGTGCAGTTTATAAAAGCATTGTTCAGTTGATTTGTTTAGGGTGTGTATTCCTGTTCTGAAGCTTTATAATTGCTATTGAATTCTGCACAACAGGAAATTTTGACTAGAAGGAAGAAATGCCAGTAATCTTTGAGGCTTTTGTAAGCACAGAAACCAATGTACTAAGTGCAGGGTAACGATGGGGGTGGTGACCTTTGGTTGGCAATGTGCAGGATTCCAAGAAGAACACGGATGTGTAGATCAGTGAAGGACAATTAAGGTCCTGGAGGAGTCTTCCAACAGTCCAGACATCTAACCGCAGTGGCAGCACTGGTATGGCCATTTTTCTTAAAATGTCCGCAGATCTACATCATCGGGTGTATGGAGGTCCTATTTAAACCTGTTTTAGTCAAAGTCCCCTTATATTTCATTATATATTTAAAGTACATTCATTTTTCTACGTTGTACATTGCAGTTACCATGTAGTTATGCAAAGCACCTTTCAGCTCCACTTTGCTCCTTCAGTATGCTTCAACACAACCTGAAGCTTGATGAAAGTCTGCTGAAGGCTGCTAGCAGCTTTTTTTAAAGTGACAGCCAGGACTCCCATTAGGATTGTGGTTTAACACTCCCAAACTGGAGCTGAAGAATGCTTTGAAATCTTCAAGAAAGCTGCACAAAGCTTACCGAAAGCTTAAAAAAATGCTTTCCTGAAAACTTGGTGTTCACTCCGCTCTTATACAACCTGAAGCCTGTGCGAAGTAGGTCTTATTAACAGTACAGGCAGTCCCCGAGTTTACATACATCCGACTTCTACTTAGAAACTGAGGCTATTACTGTACACGAGGGGTAGTTGTAATGCTACCGTGCCCGTGCTGATGCACGAGCGCGGGAGAAGAAGAGGTGGGTGCCCACCTCTTCTTCCAGGTCACTGTGAGGTTTTTACTGCTGTCTGTATCCTCATTATAAAGATTTAATCTCACTTCCTATCCATGAGACAACAGGAAGTGAAAGGAAATCTACCCCAAGGAAGGGAAATTCACTTTTTTAAGATTGATCATGGGAAATAGGTGTCTCCACTGAAGCTTTATCACCAATCCTTCCCACGACAATCCAACATTTTCAAAATCCAATTGTCACAGGGACAGAAAGTGAGGTGAAATCTTCTGATCAGGGGCACACACAGCAAAACAAACTTTACAGGGGGTAAACCCTTCCCTATGATATCCAAAACAACAAAACATTTTTAGCTGGAGGTGCACTTAAAAAATGTACCGGTTCCAACATGCATACAAATTCAACTTAAGAACAATCCTACAGTCCCTATCTTGTTCGTAACCTGGGGACTGCCTGTAATAAATGGGGAGGTTTCTTGACGCAGGTTCCTATAGAAAAACATGCATACTGTCAGAAAGGCAAACGGATTAAGAAAAAGATTAAAACATGGATAAGTCACAATATTTTCTTACTGGCACAGTGAATCTTGTTTAACTGTAAGACAAAGTCACAAAGTTGATGAGAAAGTTGTGATCACTTGATACTCTTTTATTCATATTGTTTCATTTTGTGTACTCGCCAGAGATGTTGAACAGAAATGACTCTGTGCCAGTGCTCACATTTTTTTTTTTTGGCTTATTTTGGACAGTTTGGGTTTGCTTTTTCTTCCAAATAGTAATTTATTTTTCTTATTTTTCTTTTTTTTCTTTCTTGGAGTGACCATTTGCAGATGAAGTACGGCTCTATGACTGCTATTAACAAGGAGCTTAGTGTTCTACTTTGAAGTAGTGAAAAAGAGCAGCAATATGTCAGAAATAGATTTGTGTGTTCTGTGAGGAAAGATAAAGCATCAGCTCTCGGAACACACACAGCAAAGAAAGATTAGGTGACCTCAAAAGATTTCCTAATTCACACAGTAAAGGATAACTTATTAAGACTTCTTTAAAATTGCAGAGTACATTTGTGAAACTTTTTTCTCTCACAAAATAGTATCAGCAGGCCAGTTTAAGGGTGTTCTCCTTAAGAAAGTTCTCCTTCAGGTCCTCCTCTGATGATTAACAGCAGGCAGCGGGCAGGTCCAATAGATAACTTGTTATTGGCCATTTCAAATTGCAATAGCTAATAAGCAGGCTGGCTATTGCACACACCCACACTGCCTCAGAGCCTCTCCAACCCGTCCAGCAGCGCCGCACACTGTGTCCAGACCCGCGCTTCTCTCTGGCATCTCTCTCTGAGTGGCCCTGGTGCCTGACGGCCAGCCTGCTATTAGCTGATCTGATGCCCGCTACCTCTGCTAATACAGGCAGGGGAGAGCAGCTGGGATCAAAGGTGACACAGACTGTAGTGGGGATCAGATGGCTGACCAAGGTTGCTGTGGTGGAATCAACTAATCAAATTCAACTAATCGTTGACAACGGTTCTCAACGATTTTATTGATTTATATCGATTAGTTGTTGCAGCCCTAGTCACTTTAATTGTATCTTTGCAAAGTAGCAGCTCCTGTTTAGAAAAGTATATTAGAACATGTAATGTAGTGGCATTAAACTAATGCAATTGAGAAATTTCGAATTTTACAATTTCTCTTTTAAGGATATTGCTTTTATGATGTAGAATTATTTCTGTTAGTATGCTTATGTGTGAAAGCAAATGCTATTTCTTTCCATAGGTTTCACGTTTCAGTAAATTCATTCCTGGAGAAACACAAACCTGAAGTGGTAGAGCTGCACATCTCTATGACTCCTGCAATGCTTGCTATACAAGCTTCTATACTAGATATAATGAATGCTTGCATAATGGAACTGAAACGCTACAATCCTGCCCTAGAAGTGGAAGATCTGAGTTTAGAAAATGCTATTGGAAGGGCCTTTGACAAGGTATTTGCAGTGGTTATGCAGCAGTCTGGTGTCTTCATGGACACAGTCAGAGTGTTTTGCATATAGTTTAATATGTTGGCCTCTCAAATAATAGAAAGTCGCGCTCTAATATTTCGTTGAACTGCCTTTCGCTTTGATTACGGCATGCATTCATTTTGATAAGCTTATGCAATGTCACAACATTTATTTCTATCCGGAGTTGCATTCATTTTTCACCAAGATATTGTATTGATGACGAGAGAGTTGGATCACTGCATAAAGTCTTACCCAGCACATCCCAAATATTCTCTATGGGGTTAAGGTCTGAACTCTGGTGGTCAATCCATGTGGGAAAATAATGTTCCCTGGACCATTCTTTCACAATCCTGGCATTATCATTTTTAAATATGCCCATTCCATCCCAGAAGAAAAAACCCATTGATGGAAAAACCTGGCCAATCAGTATTTTCAGATGAGCAGCTGACTTCATTTTTTGGCACACACAGTTGCTGAACCAAGACCTGTCCAACTGAAGCAACCCGTATAGCTCTTACCTATTTGCTTAGATAAATCCACGTGGTGACTTTTTTTTTTTGGTCACGCAGTGCATATGGTCTAGTGTGGAAGCACTGTTCAGTTTAACTTTTCTAATTGGCAATTGCATATATAGTATTGTTGTAGCTAAATAACTCTTTAAAACACATTGCTTAAAAAAATTGCTTTTCCAAGCGTAATTTACATTTAAACTGACCACATAATAAATCCCAATTTAGTTCCAGAAAGGGAAAACTTCCTCTATATTAAAAACTTTTTATGTAGACTACTCATGTCTCACAAAGTCAGCCACAACTAATCTGCAATCACATCTAAATTGCATTGTCCTCATATATAAATTAATTTTCACATTAAGTTATCCATCAGTTTTTACTGTGATTCTTCCACCGATCACTCCTCTGCAAAGAGTTTGCATGTTCTCCTTGTGCTTTGCGTGGGTTTTCTCTGGGCACTCCGCTTTTCTCCCACACTCCAAAGACAGGCTGGAAGGTTAATTGGCTCCTGTCTAATTTGGCCCTGTATGTACGAATGTGAGATATGGACCTTAGATTGTAAGCTCCTTGAGGGCAGGGACTGATGTGAATGTGCAGTATGTAGAGTGCTGCATAAATTGTCGGTGCTATAAAAAAAAAAATGCCTGTAATAAATAAATCCCCTAAATATCACTAGTTGACCACCCTGAATATGATACTATTTGTTGGATATGTGTATAAAAATGCTAACTTTACAGGACTAAAACTCCAGTTTCAGGCAGTTATTTCTTCTTGCTTTCCTTGAAGAAACTGATCTCCGACACCCCCCCTGTGTATAGTGTTTTTGGATTCATGCAATGAGTCAGTGTAAGATTTGATGGGTCTCTTGTGTTTCCATACAGAATACCACAAATGTACTCATAAGATCACCACACAAATTACAATCTAATTGTACAATCTCTTTTAGCTCTACCATCTATTATGTAGTGCAGGGGTCTGCCTAATTGGATAGAAATTGATTGGATAGTTTAGGTAGGTCCTTTTGTACGGTCACATTGCAATGTGTATGGTGACCCTTAAATGGCTTGTCAAATATTGGTACCTATCGTGTTATTTGTAAAACTGCTTTCTTTAGTAGTAATTGATAAAACTAATTCTTTTGTAGACCATTCGCCATTTTCTGGATCCACTATGGCATCAGCTGGGGGCCAAAACCAAGTCGTTAGTTCAGGACCTAAAAATTCTCCGTACTCTGCTCCAGTACCTGGCCCAGTATGACTGTGTGACATTCCTAAATCTGCTAGAATCCCTGAGAGCAAGCGAAAAAGCATTTGGGCAGAATTCAGGTACAGTTTGTAATCTATCTGGCTGTTCCATTTTGTGTATTCATCTTTATAATCTGTTCTTGGCAGCACATGAAATGTTAATGATTAAGAAAATAGAAAAATAGGCAAGGATTAGAAGGATTGAACCTTAAATTGGCTAGAAGTCTTATGTAATAAATTCATGATTACACTTGCTCTTTGGTTTTTTTCAGTACCTATGTTATGATGTTAGAATCTTTCCAGATCATATTTACAGTGTGCATGAATTCATTTTAAAACAGAATGATTTACATAGGGTATACACGCAGCAAATTTGGGGCGGCTCATGATGAACCGGCCGAAATGAACTGCATGGGTGCCAACAGCAGCAACCTTCCACCCGGCATCCCTCGATCAGATGATCGAAGGAGCAGGTCAGAAAATTCTTGTATGAACAATCAGCTCCGTTCAGGTATTCTGACAGCTGCCGTCAGAATACAATAGAAACGGCAGGGGATTTCTCGATCGATGCTCATAAGCGTTGATGGAGAAATAATTATTTTTATTTATTTTTTCTTCATTCAGCCCGCAGATTGAACAAAAAAAAATAGAACTGTGTATACCTATCTTTAGTATCTGTTCAGATCTGTAGGTGCACCACTAACACACAAAACATGCTGCACTGCCATCAATAAAATGCTTTATAACTCCAGCAAACCGCTTATTTAGGACTCCTCAATAAGGACATAATAAAATACTGAAATCTATGCAAAATACTGAAATCTATACAAAGTGCTTCTGTTTTGACGCGTATGCATCCAAACAACATTCACATCCATAAAATTATTTTTTCTATTACTCTAGTTACAGTTTAAATCCTACCATGTACATGTGTTCACATACACACATATGTAAATTACATAGAAACACAAAACACAGGTGCTGAATATTCTTTGATTTTCCACAACTGAACGCAGGGCAAGATTACCAAGCGCACCACAGCTGTATGCATGGGCCCATATTATACAATATTGCTGTGTTCAGATCCATAAAAAACTATAAGCTGTAGAGATCTGAACATAGTAGTTTTTTTAAGTGCATGAGCCCTTAAAGGAAATCTGTCCTATGACTGTTATTTCTGACCTCCTGAAAAAGCTAATATCCCCGTTGGCCATGCTACTCCTCTGGCCTCTATTTCCTGAGTCCGAATATATTATAAAGAATTGCATCATACTGTTTTAAATGTCTGCTGTTTAGTATCAATTAAATTTCTCAAAAACAAAGACCTTTTTAAAACTCTGACAGTGCCTTTCTGACTCGGGGATTTCATACACCTAGTCATTTTTGTATGTTCAAAGTTTACAGTGGTGACTACAATCCACTCAGGTATCCTGGGAATATAAAGCAGATATGTCGTAATGTATGTACCATAGTTATTCTGACTGCAGTTTTTGTTTAACAGATCGCCAGCTAGACATTTTCAACATTCGCAAATACTAATACCACTGAACATAATGTTAGTGCCCTCTGCTGCTGCCTGTCACCTTGTGAGCAGTTAGCAAGGTTCAATGATACAACAGTCGGAGTAAATGCTTGAAGGGGAAAACCTTCGGAAATCTTCCATCTGCCTCCAGCAGATATTTTTCAAACATGCTCCAAGTAGACCTTGGCACAGTTATGTGACTGGAGTTCAAGGACTGCACTCTAGTATTTATTTTAATTGTGCTGGTGTATATTATGATATGTCAGGACTTTATGTATACAGAAGTTACAAAGTCCTCTTAATTCACACATTTTTGTTTTGACTAATTCTGATTTGTATAGGCTCAGCGTTGACTACCTATAAAAATAACTTTTATGGTCCTTTTTTACATTCTATGAAATTACAATGTTTATCTATGTATAGATATCTATCTATGTATGGATATTGTTCCCCATGGCTCATTCAAATTTTGTTATAGGTTGGCTCTTCCTTGACTCCAGCACATCTATGTTTGTTCATGCTCGTGCCAGGGTCTATAAAGCTGCTGATTCAAAAGCCATCAAAAAGCCAAAGACTGCAGAATCAAATCAGAAGCAAGGTAAGCAAAAAGAAAACTAGCCAAATTCTTTCTGAATCTAGCTTTTATTTTCTAATGTTTAAAACTATCATTACCCCTGTTTGAAGCCTATATATGTGATAACCTACCATATGCCTAATGTGAACATAGACTGGCAGGTATATTCCTGAATATGAGATATCTGCCTGTCCCCATAAGAAACTGCTGGATGACAGCAGAACGTCTGCTGTATTTGGAGTCTTTACTTCTCTCCAAAGAAGAGTGAAGAATCAGTACCATTTTCAGGGAGATTTTTCATCAATCGATGCGTGAAAGTGAGATAAGTGAGATTTGCACTTGATTTTGTTGAGCTGTTTTTGGGCAGCTTAAATGACCACTCGTACGGTTCAGTGTGTGTCATTTTTAGATGACGGTCACTCTTCTGCCATTTTTCTGTAGATAAATGTGCCTTTAAGCCAAAGTAACTGTTTGGTTCTGCCTCTTATTCCTTTACAGCATGTAGCTACATTAATGTGCAGAAGCCTAATATGTTAATAACTTATGTCCTTAACATGGTTAACTGCATTCTAATGTGAGCAACTTATTTGACCTGTTTTGTAAATAGATGAAACTATGTGCATATTTAGTCAATTTGTTATGTAGGAAATGTATGAAAACTGAATTAAACAAATGAACTGCTGCAAGTAAACTGATATAAACATACCGAGGCGAATTTATCAAAAGTGGAGCAGGGGAAATCTGGAGCAGCTGTGCATGATAACCAATCAGCTTCTCTCTTTCATTTTTATATCTTAACTGAACAGACTGAATAGAGAAGCTGATTAGTTGCCCTGGGCTCCTGATTTTGTCTGCTCCAGTTTAGATAAATTCCCCCCCACTGTATATAGAAATATAGAAAAACACCTAAAACAGAAAAAAAAATTTCTTCATTCTTCCAACAATGTTTCTAGATGCTGAACAAAACTGCCCATGTGAAAATGAAGCCTAGAGACTTAGTTTACTTATCGAATAAAAACATTTGAAGGAAAAGATTTTTTTTAAAGCATCTGTTAAAAATGTTTGTACAATTCTGTATACACGGTAGAAGAGTTAGAATACACTGTAAATGGCTGCAGTTATGAAAAAACCCCCAGTAAACAACCCCAATTACAGTCCTGCTTTTCAGTTAGACCTTGAACCTGTACCCCTTCCCCATTTTGCAATGCTGCATACTCCAAAAGTCAGTGCTCCAAGCCCAGCCACACAGAATATTTCTTAGTGTTTTCTGCTGTGCTATTTAAAGGAGAACTATGGGGTCAGTGTTTTTCCCCATAGTTCTCCTTAGGGTAACGGGAGGACACAAACTAGCGTCCTCCGGTTACCCTAAGCTCAGTATACCACGAGCTACAGCGCTGGCAGATCGGAGAGGGGAATCCAGCCCCTCCCCCTGTCACGGCAGAGAGTCGTGACAGGATCAAGAGGTGAGCGAACCTGGTATGTGTTCGCTCACCTCCCGATCTACTGAGCCGACCTGTGACAGTCTCATTGTCACAGGTCGGCTAGAACTATGAGGTGAGTGGAAATCGCTCATCTCATAGTTCTCCTTTTAAGGCAGATACATCTAGTGTACTGAAATCTGTCTGTTCTGCCTGTGTTAAGCAGATAAGTCATCACTGAATAGATAGTAGCTGCTTTGACATACTGTTTAAACAAGCGCTGATCCTCCCTGCAGAATTTCTCATACTGAAAAAATCTGCAGTGCAACAGAAAAGGGAAATTGGCATATCTCAAGAATAGAAGCAGAAGGTACGTTAGTTTTTGGCATAACATTGGTATAGTTGTTTTTTGGCTTATGTGTTTCAGTGCCAGTTTATCACAGTTAAAAATCAATTTTATCTCTTCCAAAAAATTAAGCATAATACTAAATAAAGATAATCCTATGCCTAATCCTGAGCCCCTAAAATTAGGCTGCATTCATACTGCATTGGCTAAAGAACACACAATACTAATGTTGTTAGCGCCTCATCCTACCCATTGTGGACAGGTACAGTTGATAATGTGCATGGAGGGAAGCACTATAAATCAATAGGCAGCCTATTCACTGTGCCCAAGCCTTTTACCTTTCTAGGTTTTTCAGCTGACCTAGAAATGGCCTCGGCTATAAGGTATACCCGAAACAGGAATGCATTTCAAGAGATGCCAGGGAGGTCATAAGATGTAAACAAACTTGAGCAGAAATGAGAAGTTATATTTGTCTGCATTTGAGGTCTGTAATTGCATATAGCAGATTTGATGTAGATGCAGAGGGGGGTGGGATATGTCGTCCTAAGAACGAGCTGGTTCTGGAGAGTAACCCTAAATGGGAAGGTCTCAGTGAAGTCCTGAAAGAGATTGAAACAGAGAACAAGAACAGTGAGGCCCTGGGAGGACCAGGTCAGTTTGTTTTCATAGGAATTAATTCAAGCACAATGCTCAGCACGGTACTAAATAATCATGTCTTATGCTTGACTGCCTACTAGAGCCAACAGGGCATCTTTGCTGCAAAGAAGTGATTGTAGTCTTTCAATTTATGACAAATACATAATCTGCAGTTTTTAATTATTTGGTACGTGCAGCAGAGTAATGTTAGAAGGTAGTTATGCTCACTATATTTTTTATTTTAACTTTTAACTGAATTCTTTTTTTCTATTATAAAGTAACAATGATTCTAAATAAAAAGTACAGGATTATTGTTACATATGTACTGATAAGTATATTGGCCAAATAACCAATAAATGTTTATTTATTAGCCCTTAGTAGTAGAATGCGGTTATAACAAATGCAGAAAAACATATAAAGGAATCCTATATTGAGAAAAATTTAAGGGCTGTCATTGGTGATCTAAAATACTAGTTACCTGTTGGGTCTCTGGTTAGAGGTTAAGGAGTTCAAATCTGGATGCTTGGTCCTGATGATTGATTCAAAGTACTGGAAACATTGACTGCCAAGGAACCAGCAGTTTTAGGATAGGTTGGGAATGAAAGCTGACATATCTCCACACCAGCAGAACACCGCATGCATTACTCCACTCACTGGTTTATTCGCAGAGAGGAAATATCAATAGTCACAGACACAATCATGCTAGGAGAGTCTAATTTCTAACTAGCTGTGGTGCTCTGGCTGATCATATAGCATATAGAGTACAAAACAGGAGTACTCGGTCCGGTCAAGGCTTAGACTGTCACAAGACATCTGCCTAATTAGATGCAGTACCATGCACACGTTGCCCTGTGACCACCATTAGGTCCCTTTTCAGACGGGTGGTCTGATCGGGTCTAAATGTCAGGTTTTTTTAAATATAAATCTATGGGCAGCCGGATCTAAATGGACAGGTGTCCGTTTACATCCGATTGCCACCGGCTCTGGCCAGGTTTGGAAAAACAAACGGAACAGTGTTCTGCTTCAGTAGACCTGATTTTGCCGGATCAGAGATAACCTGATGTAAACGTACACAAGTCCGTTTACATGTGATTCCCCATAGGGTCCAGTCCTTTCAGTTTACTCCTCCATTGGAAGGAGGAAAAAAACTGAATGGACACAGATGTCACCGCGGTGACATCCGATCCATACCACACGGATCCCCTCCTGATCGGACAATGTAAAATGGGCCTTAAAAGGGTAGGCTATGTGGAAAAAGTGGCCAGTTAAACACAGAGCATGGCAGTGTACTTGTATCTCTGTCATTTTTTAAGATCATGGCCGAAGATGTTTTTATCAAGCAGGATTAAAGTAAGTAATACTGGTATTTCTAAACATGTAACATACTGATCTTCTAGTAGCGTAAAAGAAAATATGAATAAAAAGGTGCCATCTATGTTTGCAAGGGATGCTTACATTATATCATTTTGTGATCCATCTGTTTTAGACAAATTGTTTAGTACTGCAAGGGTAAGGCACTGAAAGGTTGTTTGCTGTAAGGTTTGTGTTGGCTATTCATGCCACCAGATGTCTATTCTGTTTATGGTAATAATAAGCAATACTACACAGGAGCAGTGAACATAGGAAATCATGCATCTGTGGCTTCTAACATGAGTATACTTTTACTCTCAGGCTATCCATTTAAAATCAGGGTAAAAATGAATACATTTAAGTAAAAGTCTTCAATGTGGAATTTCTAAAACTGCAGCTTTGCATCCGTTACAGACTCTGGTGGTATAATAGCCTGGACACAATTTCTGGCTTTTCCCATCTCTTTGGCAATTATAAAGTCAAGCAACAGTGTCGCTCTTCCCTTGCACATTCTCCCACTGTAAATACACAGATTTTTTAAGTAGACTTGGTTATACCCTGAGGGGATCTAACTAGTGGGGTCTTCAAGACACATAAGACCCCAGTGTGTTTTTCTGCTTACTGCTACCCATTGAACATTTTTATTGGAATGGCATAAAATAAGCATAATATTGAGTTTGCGTCTTATGAGATATTGCCATATCAGGCTATTATTTCCACACAAAGTCTATTCATTTCTCAAGAACATTTTGATTGAACAAATGACCTCTATTAGCCTGTAACTCTGTTATCCAGCTGCCTACTGTGGCTAGCTTAGTTGTTTGAACTCTGGTAGAAAAGTTAAAATTTAATAAGTTTAAATCCTCAAAGTGACTGAGGGAGGCATAGGAAAAGGAGCAATGGCATCCCAATTGGTCTTTGAACCTTCTTTTAATTAGGTTTTACAAAGTAAAATGTATATTTTCTCAATAGGCTCTTAATCCTTTCCCAGCCAAAGCCAGTTTTGTTTTCACTCTTGCATATGTTAGAGTGCACATTTTAGGTCTGAAGATAACATACAGCTCCCAGAACATAGTTTCTTTCTTATTCATTGAGGGACACAGGTTTCAGAGACCATTGTGTTATACTACCACCTACAGAAAGATTTGAACACTGGTAAACGAATACAAATGCAGTGACCAGTCTTGTATAATCCCTCCCACTCCCAGCATGCCTCAGTTTTTTGTTAGTGTTCTAAGAGAATGGACTGAGAAAAGGTTAGTAACCATTTCTTTTCCTAAATTCAAGATTATTTTTCAATCTTTGTTCTATTTCTTTATATAAAATTCAATCTAGGGGGGTGACACTGGTACCACACCCCTATAGAACTACATTAAACCCAAAACATATGAAGTGGGGCTTTTTAGGTATAAGCAAGTGGCCTTAATATAAATCCAATCCAAAAATTTGAAACCATACATTTTATTTATATGCATTTAAAACATATAGGCACAGATGCACGCAACATTAAAATCATGCTATGTTAATAATAATGTTATGTTACATAGGCAGAACCGTTTCAGTCCTTTTTGGGTACTGTTGACACCAGTAGCGCTTCACTACTGGTGTAGCTTCTTCAGGAGATAATGGAGGCCTACAAATACTAAAAACAACACACTATGATAGACCCTTCGGTGGGCCACAGGAGGGGCAACAAAGGTGAGCGCCATCAACTTCACAAGGCAAGCCCAACTATAAAGGGTGAAAGTAAATTCACCCATAAGGATTCACACATACCAAGAGCCAGGTGTCTATCTATAGTCTGTATTATGCATATGTATGCAAGTATGGGTCGGATAGCATACCCAGTAAAGGCTGATTAATAAATACAGACATACAATACTAGAACCTAAAGGTAGCCACACAGACAATCCCCAATCGTCCTGAATATTAAAGATGCAATAGGTATACCTACTTATAGGTGGCTTCAAAGCTGCTTTAACATATGATATAATGTACTTTTCTCAATTATACACAATGGGGAGAGAGAAGAGACAATGGCCAAGTGACCTACCCAAAATAAATTCATCAAGGCAATCTGCAAAGTACCTACCCCGAGGCCAGAGTGGAGAAAACACACTCCTGTGCAAGAAAGAGGATGCCCAGAGAACATGGCTGCCAGTTCCCGCTCGTATATCTCTCCCACCATCGCTCACGTATAGCTGCATTACGCGGCCGTGGCGTTGAGTGCCGCCGATGTTTCTGCGCACGCATGTGCACAATGCACACGTATGCATAGAGATGTGTGCACGTATGTGCATATGCAATTGATGGAGGTGCCCTCCGCACACCTTTCAGCAGTCCCGGCCAACAATCAAATAAATGGTGCTCGAAGTAACTTCACGGATGGCACCGTGCAAAACACAAGATTGAAGAAAATAGGTCACCAGCACTCCATAAGTTAAAATGAATGAGTCCTTTTAATGTGGTCACATCTCTTGCCTTGAAGAAGGGACCCTGTGTGGCCCCGAAACGTCGGCTCATGTTGGATTTCTGTGACATCATTGTCCATTAAAAGGACTCATTCATTTTAACTTATGGAGTGCTGGTGACCTATTTTCTTCAATCACGTATGTGCATAGACGTGTATATATGCATAGAGACATGCAGGCATACGTGCACAGTGCCAACCAAAGAAGGAGGAAGTGCTTAGCCTAATCGACAGAGGGGGAAACGAAAAGGAGGGGACCAGTGGGCTGTGGCCACCTCTCCACACACACACACACACACACACGTGCACCACCACCAGGACCCAGGCCCATTAATACACTTAGGGAGATAATACATGAGGCAGGTCCTTCCAAATCAAGGGGAGCATTCCCTAAATAGGGGAATAGCCCCCTTTCATCCATACGGCCCTCGTTACCTAAAGGGGAGTGGCCAAAATAGGTCTCCAAAGGAGGACTCAAAGGCCGCACATCCACGGGGACAAGGTAACACTCCAGCTCTTCCCAAATCCGCCCTTCCCATATGGATATGGCTCCCAGCCGCTAGATGCAGAGGAGGAGTGGGGCTGGGACAGAGGAGGCGCAGGGTGGCAGTGGAGTCACGGGGGGGCAGAGAAGGACCGGGGCAGCAGTGGATGTGCGGGGGAATACAGCGACACTCTCTTCTCCAGGCTGGTGCCGGCTGCAGTGGTCTGTGTCCCTGCTGCCTCTGCCGATACAGGCGGGGAGGGCAGGGGGGATTGAAAGGGACAGAGACCGCTGCAGCCAGCACCAGCGGGGAGGAGAACAGAGGAGCAGAGCGGCGGCAACGAATCGAAAACCAACTAATCGATGATGAGAATCGTTGCCCATGATTCTCCATATCGGTTAGTTGTTGCAGCCCTAGTACTTTCATATATATATTCATAATTTCATATGTATATTATTTTTGCAAGCAATTATAGTTTTTTTTCTATAGATTCTGCCTAAGCAAGTTTTAAAAGGATACACTTACAGTAGTTGTCATTGCTGACTTGTTTTGAAGGTTCATTCTCAAGGGCAGCCACCCTTTTTCATCTTTGACCAATTGTAGTGTCTCACTAACCTGGAAGAGGCATGTGCATATTGAAATTAAAATGTGCAATTGAAGTAAAAAGATGTAAGCAATGCTTGTAATTAGAGAACTATGTGGAAGTCAAATAAAAATAAGTGCTTTTATCCACATATAGGAATTTATTGGAATCTCTGCACAACTGATTTTCCACTATGAACTTTTGTGTGTGAAAAGGGAAGAATTTTCACTGTGCTTATGCCATATGTATTGGTTGTAATTGAGGAAAAATTGCCATGGGGACTGGCAGGGCTCTCACCACACAACCTTGTAATGCGTTATCTGCCCATCTACTCTCATGCTTGGTATGCCCATAGATAATGCAGGAGATGTGATGTACACCTATAATTGCAAGGAACATTATAATATGGAATAATAGGAACCATTCAGCTGCAGTCATTGATGCTAAAGGTGACATATAGGGTTGTGAAGTGACTTGGCCTTAAAAACATGTCTAAGATCACTAAGATATTGAATTGCAAGCACCTTGTAGTGCATTTTGGTACTTGTACAAGTCTTTAAATTACTCTCTGTGGAGCCCACAGGATCCTAGGCCCAGGCTGTACTTCTGCCAATCCCCTTAAGCTCCTCCCCCTCCTAGCACTAAGCCTTGGCCTCGTCATTCAACTGTAAAATGCCAGATTTTACAGTTTAAGTATTATTTATCAGTATTGTTTTATTACTGTCATTTTCATATAGTGCTAGTTGATGGACAACTTTGTTCATTCCATTCCATAAATCAGATAAAAACAAAAGGTTTGTTTATTTAAGTACACTTTATCCAGTATTAGATTTTTATTTAAATTCAGCTTTAAGTATTTTCAGTAATCGAGGAAATCTGGAATGGGGCAAATGCTGTTTCACAGCCCAGCCCTGTACATGTTTCTGTGTTGTATTGGCATCTTGTAGCTTTTAATCCGTGTCATTAACTTTTGTCTTTTTTATGGTAACTCCGAGCCATTTGTCTAAAACAGCTTTGTATCCTTTTTTAGAGCATGTTTTTTTCTTAAATAAACTTTCCTTGTTCACAACATCTGGCATCGGGACCTGTTTATACAATGTAGTCCAAGCTGGAAGTTGCCAATTTTTAAGAAGTACAGGATCATATTCCCAGCTTCATCTGGCATGTTTTTACGAGCAGCGTTGTGTTATTTGTTGAAATATCTGTAATTAGACTCAATCCCATTAAAACAGATGAAGATGGAAAGATTTTATATAATTACGGTAAAAAGCCGTCTAGTCTTTACGTTTAGGCGCACAGTACTGCATAAATTATAGATTATATATCATCTCATTTATAGTTTTGAAATAATTTTTTTCCACTTTAAAGTAGTTTTAACTGCTCAAACTTTTTTTTTTTAGATGAACCCAGAGCAAAAATACATATACATTGCCCAGTAAAGTATTTCTTGACATTTTTTCCCAAGCATTTATTTACGTTATCAAACAGCTCCAACTCTCTCGGCTCAGCTTCCTGTTGAGTACAAGATTGCAAGAGAGAGCACAGTCTTTAGAAGCTGTCCATCTACTTGCTTGGAGAAGGGAAAAGAAAGGCGGACAGAGGGGTAGGGAACAGAGAGCAGGGAGCCGCCTTGCTATGTTTCTGGAGACACACACAGCTTACTATTACACACAGGGGTGGCTCCATAGGACCCTGCAAGGTAGATGAGCCACCCTAAGGGCTTGTTCACACCAAATCCGGATCCGATCTGCATGAGTTTCTGCATATGCAGTGCAGTGTGCTTTGCCGTGTTTTTGAAACGTTCTGGTCCATTTTTTTTCTTTAGCCTAAAATTAGCTTTTAGTGCGTTCCAGGGTGTTTGCATGCGTTTTGGTGCATCGCAGAGCAGAAAAAATAAGGCATGCTGCAATTTTTCCACTTGCTCTGTTGTGAACTAGAGCCCAAAATACCATTGGAATACATTGGATGCATTTTTGATGCGTTCTGTAATTGCTCTGCCCTGCATCTGCTCTGCACTTGGTGTGAACAAGCCCTAAAACAGGATATTAGTACCAGGAGACTAACTGATTCTACAGCAAGCTAAAGCTTTTAAACATCAAGGTGCAGCATCCATTGTAAGTGATTTTTTTTTTTTGTATGTGGCATTCCAAGCAGAATTTCTAGTGAATATCCTCCCAATCTTAATGATACATTCCACATATACTGTATGTCTTCCCTTAATTATATACCCGGAAGCATCTTCTGTGTGCACAGTTCAATGTTATTTTGCTGGTCCCAGCCTACTGCAACTACTGTTAAGACAGCAGCCCAGTGATGTCATTGTTTTCTATAATCATGTTGAAAATGTTGACCTGAAAGTACCGTGCAAAGAAATGGATCTCTGATTGGCTCACTGGGCTTCATCTCTCATTTTAGTCCTGGAAGATGATCTTAAAAGGCTTATAATACATAGTTCAGGTACGTTCTCCATTTACATACAGGTAATCATTTTAAAAGAATGAACACACGCCTGGATCATAAGATGCTGACCCTCCCTCTTCCAGCCGTACTGTACAGGAGAACCTATGAAGCTAATTTGAAGACCAAGCCAAGCATTTATACTAGCTGTATCCATACATATTCACTTTTTTAACAAGTACATAGCTGTATTATTATATCAATTTGCCTGAAGTTCTGCTTTACCTGTGCTCACTCAAGCTGCTGCTGTAGAACGCATGAAGTGCAAAACTATCCACTGGGATCATATAAAAACTGTAAAGAGTCACTATACTGAATCAGATAAGGCCATCAAAAATGAAATTAGCATTTAAACTGAGCATTCTCCTGTTTGAGTTTGCATATACATTGTAGATATGTTTTAAGTATCCAGACATATTTAAATGATGTTTTGTGTTTACATGGCAGGCCGTGTGTTGATCTGTGCCAGTGACGATCGGACATGTGCTCAGCTAAGAGAGTTCATTGCTGTGGGGGCAGAGCCACTTTTGATGAGGCTGTACAACAAGACCTTTGGGAAAGATGAAAAAGCGGCTGAAGTATGGCTAAAAAACAGAAAAGCCGACAAGAAAAAGGAATTGGCCACAGGTGGGAAGGGCTTGCAAAGTAAAAGGGGAAAAGATGCCACGGGCAAGCAGAAGAGAAACTGCAAGAAAACCGAATTAACTTTAACACAAATGATAGGAAAAGTGGAAGATGATGATATCGCAAAAGAACAGGAAGAAGACTTGTTCAAGGAGGAAACCATTAGCATGGAAAGTAGCATAGAAGAACCAAAATTTGAAGATCTCCAGTTGAATTTACCTTCAGACTCTTATTACTGCATCTTAAAGGAACCCCTGACTGTCATCCATCCTTTACAAGGCTGTACTGACCCCTATGCGCTTATGAGGTTATTGCATGAAATAGAGCCAAGATATGTCATCCTGTATGATGCAGAGCTCAGCTTTGTTCGTCAGCTTGAAATTTACAGAGCTAGCAAGCAGAAAACATTAAGGTACTTAAGATCTTCATGTATATGATAAATATAAATATATGACTAATTGTGTAACTTACTGTGCAGAACCAGAACAGCTGAATTATCATGTGAGGACTTTTTCTGGGTAGCAAATGTCAAACTACTAAAATCTTCACCTGTTCTTGTTTTTCCTCACTATTCACAACTATTCTTGAACATGTTTAAGGGTTTATTTCCTCATCTATGGGGGCTCCACAGAAGAACAGAGATATCTCACTTCCCTCAGGAAGGAAAAAGAAGCATTTGAACAACTTATCAGGTAAAACATACTTCCTTACAAAGCGTACAAATAATATGAATGCTGGAAATCTTAACTATGTTTGACTGAAAGAAACAAAATCCATTTGACTTTGCGTTTATCTACTGAGTCAAGTTTGTCATTAGTTGATAAATAAATTGGGCCTCAGGATTGAGTATAGAGATGAGGTATTCTGATGTTTTGTTGACATTTATTTACAGAATGCTTTTTCAGGGTAGTGACTCAAAATCATTGAAGGCAGGCAGACAGACGGAGGTAAATCATTGAAGGCAGACAGACAGACGGAGGTAAATCACGTATTCAGCATGGCAGTCCCTATTCGCCTCTCATGACAGGTGTACTTTAAGGAGTCAGTCTACCAAAACTGATATTTATTTTTTTGGTGCTGGAGAATCTTTTGTCAATTTTTCTTCAGGGACTTTATTGGTAACATATTTGTGTTTGAGTTTTTCAGCCTGCACACCTGCTGTGACGTATGAGGGGTTGCCACACATTTTTTTAAATGGTTTTATATTATAGAGAATGCAGCTGATGAATCTGGAACATGCTAAGTTTAATGGGAACACTCAAAACTCCTAGACCGATAGTAGCAGATTCAGGGAAAATTACATCTCGCTGATAGAGTATCCAAGACCAGGGGTTTACTCCACCAAAAGTGAACCAGTAAATGGTTGTGTACTAACTCTTTTTAAGGGCCAAATCAAAAGATATTACAATGATGCCATTCAGATTTGAAGAGTTCTGCTACCCAATTTCAGCATTTAGGCTGGGTTCACACCTAGGCGTATTGAATATGCGCGTCTGTCGCGCGTTTTTTTACCGCGATTCGCGGTAAAAAAGTCGCGCGATTCCGAAGGCTACTTGGCTGTATCCCAATGTAAAACGCCCTACAAAACGGCCCAAAGAAGTACATGTACTTGTTTGAGCGTAGGCCGTTTTGTAGCGCGTTTCAGACGGGCGGAAATACGGAAAGGTGTGAACCAGACCCATAGAAAACAATGGGCTTTTCATGTTTGTACGTTTTGTTGAGCGTTCATAGAGAGTTGAACGCGCGACAAAACGTAAAGGTGTGAACGGGGCCTTAATGATTTTTGTAATTTCCATAAACATCTCATTCGGACTGTATGAAAGTTACAGAAGCTAGGCTTCATCAATCCTGTAATTTTGTTAGCCGAAGTTGTGTATATATATTTATACCTTCTTGAGATCAACCATGTTAGTCTTATTGAGATAAAAAGGAAGTATTCTGTTACACTTCTCTATATTACGGTCTTACTTTCTGGCATAACCATTTTTACTTTTGCCATATAAGTTTGAGGAGAAAATAGACATCTACCTGTCTGTGCAAACCAGGCTGTGGGGGAAAAAACTGACTTGGAACCAGATATATAGACTTTGGAAAATAAACTTGATTCAGTTATTGGATTCATGGTCATGATTTCTTGCAGAGAAAAAGCCAGCATGGTCATCCCAGAGGAGAGGGAAGGACGAGATGACACGAACCTGGATCTTCAGAGAGATATGACTCCAGCCTCAGCTTCTACTGACACGCGTAAAGCTGGTCAGTCTCATGTATTTCCTTCAGTGCTGTTTATTACAATGTTATCTAAACTGTGGCTATACATCATGTTTTCAATAGTTCTAACATGACAGATATGTTAAAAAAACAAATAAAAAAATCTGTGGCACATTAGCATATTACACATCTAATAAATAAACTTTTTAATGTGAAAAGCATCCATACACACTAGTCACTAGGAAAAGGGATGGAATATTTATCTCTAGCATTAGCAAATGGCTTGTATTTGTCTACACCTAGATACCTGAGAAGGTAAATATTCCTGACAATTCGAGTATATAGTATATAATCACACACTGCAAAAGGATTAACAATCTGCAGTAAGAAATGGGCCCTTTTTATTTGTCTCTGTCATGGTAAGAGTATCACATTTTGCTATTAATATTAGATGCAACTGCTCCCTGTAATATGACATCTAAATATTACTTGCTGTGATGGATTGAACTGAACAGATTAAGACATTTGTAAACAAACAACACAGTACTGCATTGAAATATCTCCTACAAATTCTATTCTGACCATCTATCTTTTTGGCTCTTTGTTTAGGAGGCCAGCAGAAAACCTTGCAGCAAACCATCATTGTTGACATGCGCGAATTTCGGAGCGAACTGCCGTCTCTGATTCACAGACGCGGCATTGATATAGAACCCGTTACACTAGAAGTGGGGGATTACATTCTTACCCCAGATATATGTGTAGAGAGAAAAAGTGTGAGTGACCTGATTGGATCTCTCAACAACGGACGTCTCTATACACAGTGTGTTTCCATGTGTCGTTACTACAAGCGTGCCATTCTTTTAATTGAATTTGACCCTAATAAGCCATTTTCTCTCACATCACGGAGTTCAATCCACCAGGAGATTTCTGTGAATGACATCACCTCAAAACTCACCCTCCTCACTCTCCACTTCCCAAGACTGCGCATCCTTTGGTGTCCTTCGCCATACGCCACAGCGGAGCTCTTTGAGGAGTTGAAGCAGAACCGACCACAGCCTGATGCTGCAACTGCTATGGGTATAACTGCTGACTCTGAAACTATCCCAGAATCTGAGAAGTACAATCCAGGCCCTCAGGACTTCCTTCTAAAAATGCCAGGGGTCAATGCCAAGAACTGCAGAGCCATAATGAATCATGTAAAGAACATAGCTGAACTGACAACACTGTCTTTAGAGAAACTGACTGAAATTCTCGGCAACTCTAACACAGCAAAACAGCTTTATGACTTCATTCACACGTCCTACACAGAAGCTGTTTCCCACGGGAAAGCTAAACGTTAATACGTAATAGTTTATTCATTTTATAATTAGGAAATATTCAAATATACATTTTGTTTTGTATCGTTTTCTATTTTTTTAAGAAATAGATTAACTTTCCTGCAACACAAAACAAAGGCAATCTTATCA